TGACATTTTAATTTTTTCCCTACACTTTCTGACATGTAGAAAATCATGGTAAAATCCATTTTGCATCAAGATGAAACTTTTTCTTGAATATTGCATTCAACATGTTTTTTTTAATTAATTCTTACAGGCTTATGATTCATTATTTTTTGGAATTTTAAACTCATTCCCTACTTTTTGGAGGTTTAAAGTGCTATGGTATTATTTTTTTTACCCGAAGATCAGATCTTCAATTGTAAAGTATGAGCTTACCCATTTTCTTGCATAATTTTTACCGTGTACCAATTTTATTTGTATGCAAAATGGATATAACCATCAACTTTTAAACCTTTGAAAATGTAGGAAATGAATTTCAACTTCCAAAAAATAATGAATAATAAGCCTGTAAGAATTAATTAAAAAAACATGTTGAATGCAATATCCAAGAAAAAGTTTTCATTTTGATGCAAAATGGATTTTACAATAATGTTCTACATGTCTGAAAGTGTAGGGAAAAAATTCAAAATGTCAAAAAATAATGAAAATTAAGCCGTAAAAAATTAATTGTAAAAGTTGTCTAATTGCAGTGTTGAGGATGAAGCTTTTAGTTTTATGGAAAATGGTTTTTACCGTTAAATTCTATGCACTTTAAAACATAGGAATAAAATTGAAAAAGTAAAAAATTAATAATAAATAAGGTGTAAAAATTTAATTAAAAAAACACGGCCAAACGCGGAAACGGCGTGCGCTGCGCTGCTGCGAAACCGCGTCAGAACACAGAAAAACCGCTTTTTTTATTAAGGCCCTAAAAAAAAGCAATTGGGAGGTTGACTCCCAATTCTGCAGGGGAGGATTGGAAGAAAAACTCCCCCCAATAGCCCCTCAACCAAAATGGGAGTTGTCAGCAAATATTTGGGAGTCATGTTTCCAACCCCCAAAATAAATAAGACTTAGATCACACCCGCACTTAGATAGTCAGAGGAACTTATTTTCCATATCTATTCTATGGAATTTGCTAAAGCATATTTCTGATAAGAGTACCACAGAATAAGTATAGTGTTAAATGGAATACTATAAGAAGCCTGTCTTTCTATCTTCTTGGAACCTTTTTTCATCCAATTTACAATCTATTCAATTTAGCTTACATCATCCAAAGTAACCTTTTACCAAGCCTTTGACCTGTGCTCCACTCCCAACGACATCTGTCGACACGGTTGTTGGGATTATGATAAAAAAATAAATCAATCTTAAAACAGATGGCCATTATCTATGGTACAACAAACTCATAAAGCAAAGAAAGAGTGGTCAGTGATATTATCTCTAAAAACGCTGTGTCAATAGTCTTTTTTCTATGCTTTGAATTTACAAGCTCAATCCCTCACCTGCTAAACTCCGTTGCCCCGTGAAGAATAATCAAGATGACCTTGTCCTCCCGTCTTTGCTTGTCATCGAACTCTCGAATCAGATCGCCATTTGTTTGGAGCGGCAAGGAGTTGATTGAACAAGACATTTGAACAATTCTTCAACAAAGAACAACATTCATCTCCCTGGAACCAACCATTTGAGTCAATATCGAGGGAATGCGGATAGTCGGAAAAATTTTCAGGTGAATTGATATCAAAGTGACTTTGAATGGCCCAGAGCCGAAAATGTTTAGAAAGTGCTGGAGAATTGGGTGAATTGAGATTGCAAAATGGTAATCTGATGGAAGCGATGCAGAGCTCACCCAGTCAGTAAAACCTATGTCACGGGAACGTCATGCTTCATTGGTGCACCCATCAGCAACAAATATAGTCTCATACATAATTCGACTTCAGTAAGTCGCTTAAAGAGGAAATAAAATATGAATATGACCCTACTCAGGTGAAGGTGACTAATGAAAATTCACTTCCTGATTTGCGCTGAAGAAACTGTACACGCCACTTCGACTTTTCTGATCAACTCAAGCCGTAGAGAAATCTTACGACTGATGCACCGAACTTATTGATCAAGTCCCTCCGAGGAGAGCTAATGCGCGCCAAGTCAGGTCCATTGATGAGTAAAACTCGCGACTTAAAGCTTTCCTCCCGGTTTTGCCATCTGGAGGTTCCGTCTTCTCGACGCGTTTGAGCAACCAATAAACAAGCTGGACCTCTAGTCCCCAGCTTTTCAGGGCCCTCAGAAGGCCACTGTTACTTGGACTTGCAAACAGCCAGCTCACCCGTTGCGCGGGGCAGACAAGTGAGTGATGCAAACTGAGTAGCGCCATTTTGATTGAATGTTAATATTTCTTCGTGACCTCGCGTTGGAAAAAGCGGCACTGACAGACTCCTGCCCCTCCAAATTCTATCGGATTCTACGTTGGTCACAAGAAGTGAAAAAGAGATGCGAACACGGAGCAGGTTCTCCATTTCCTCATGAGGAATTTGTTTGGCATGCGATCCTATTTTTCAGATCATGTTTAGTTCTCGCACTCATTTTTTCATTGTATCACCATTTTATCACCATTTTGTCCATGGTCTTCATCGCTCGCTACCTTTGTTAATGCCACGTACAAACTTAAGAATCATATCCAATGTTTTTTCTCACAGGATTCCTTATTCCTAAAACCAGCCTATAAAGAGGGTACCCATCGTCTCCAACTCAAACGGCAAATCTTCCAGAACAAATGTGTGCCCGCAGACATACATAGTCCAGCTCCTTCTTCTTTTGACTAGTGACAGTTGGATATAAGTCTAGTGACAGTTAGATTTGGGTCTACTGTGGACAGGATACGAGTCTGAGTGTTTTTCAGTATGTTTTTTTAGATGTTAATGGCACCCTCAGTCAGAGGGAGATAGCACCATAACAATCGCGTGGTCGGCAACTTTTACGAGCCTATATTAAAATATGGCTCGTATCTCTTCTCCATGGCCACGTTCTATGGTGTGTAGACACTGAGTCTAACCTGAGTATTGAGGGGAGCCCAGCGGAGAATTGATGGTGCACGTTGATTTCAAGCTGAGGATTGCACAAGCCGCGAGTACTCTAGCAAAGAAATCGTGCTAAACTGCTCAGATAAATTTCCCGTAGCCTCAAGTGTCATCAGGTGTCCTCAGGTGTTTGATTAGGCTCCATGAGATGGTCCTGCTCAACGATTAATCACTATAAAGAAAAGAAACTGACTATGATCAAAGGAAACTTGATCAGGATCTATGAGACGTTCTGCCTCAGTCGAGTACAGCCCCCCCCCCCCCCCAAATCATTCTGCCTCAGTCGAGTACACCCCCCCCCCCCCCCAAATCAAAGGAGCGACAGCTGATTGCAGCCAGACGAAAGGAAAAAATTGAGAAGGGCTCAGCCGATGGAAATTGAATCCTTCTCTATAAGAAGAACCTTTATTTGTAGGAAATCTGATTCTCCCAACCCAACTCATCACTTCGATCAACATCCTAACAAAACTCGCATTATCCTCAATAAAAAGCAAGGGGCAGACACGAAATTTAAAACTGTCAGTCCTAATCATCTCATAAAACGGTTCTATATCTCCACTTCTCCTCTTTTACGGTCTTCCTTAGACCAATATCAAGATCAGATTAGCTTTATCACGTTCCTTTATCCTTTACGCTTTGATCATTTCCCAAGAAAACTCTCGGTAGTTCTCTCCATTGCTCTTTATAATCTTCGTCAACTCCAACCTTTAATCGCTTCTTACTCCATCCAGTGACTGGCTGCGGGATTGGCTTATGGTTCAGCATACATATCTGCTGCAACCTGTTTACGCTTCTAGCGTTTACTTCCTGCCGCTTCCCTGTGGACTGCATCCACTTGTGGTATGGGAGTTTGCCTAAATCCTTCAATCTATAAGCTTTAACTCCCATCAAAGCTACGTCATGACTATATCATTTTGATGGAGAATTCCTAGACGCCAAAGAACATTCTTACTAGCTTCCTTTATGAAACTTACTTCATGATGTTCTCGAAGAGGCACTGATCCCTGAAAGCTCAATTCGAATCCGCTGACTTTCAACTTGTTTTTTTTTTTTTTTTGAATGGAAAATATGCTGCACGGTTACAGGAAATTGGATAACATCATGAACTCATTCAATGGCATGAGCACATTTGAGATATTACAGAAGGTGTCACAATGGGACCCGTGAGCGCGTTCCTTCTCATAAAATTATTTCTTCAACCTCTTTTAACTAAACACTCTCTCTTTATCATTTCAACTTTCATCGATTCGGATACGAATGAAAACAGAGAAAATGTACGTCAAGTCTGGGAGAATGTGTGGGCCAGTTTCGGTATAAAGCGCAACCAACAAACTTCATCAGGTCCAATATCAAGATCTGGTGCGCCTGTCTCAGATGGTCTTTATGAAACCGGCCTCAAATCACCAGATACAAGTGAAGGGACCCCGACCGTTTCCCCTGTTGCAGGGAGCTCAAATATTTTGTGCGTATCACTTTCATCCCGCGCGAAATAAAAAATTTGAAGCTGAGCGTTGTTGTAATATTATTTGGCTGTTCTTACAAAAAAAAAAACTAATGTCGACATAGCCAACAAGCAGAGTTGGCTCCGCTCTTGAAAAGACAACATCATGTCATGACGCCAGAGCCAGTCGATGAAGGTAATTAGTTGCTTTCGAAGACGCTCAGAATTGATTATGCGAAAGTGTCTCTGATTTAGGAATTTATTTTGAGGGTTGCCAACAGAGGAGAAACCGTACCACTGCCCTTTCGACAGATGTCAGTACTCGGTGTCATCAGGACAATTATCGAACCTGAGGGCACACTTGACCACACACAATCCCCTAAAACCGGGTAAGCCACCTTTCTTCAATCCTTCATCCTCAAAACCAAAGCAGCTGAAGCTAATATCTACCCGCTGTTCTGGATTTGACATGGGCTTGCTTGAAACCAAAAAAAGTCGAGTGTACGGAATGTTCCCCAAGACATAGCTATAAAAGGGAAGCCGAGTTGCCGAAACACTTCAAACGATGTCATCCTCAAACGACGTACGATCGGCATAGGCATATGGTGAATAAATCTCACGACGCACTCATCATGGAAGTGCGCAGTCATAGGTTTGTTTGCTCGAAGTGCAAAAGTTTGTTTCGCACCTTCGATCAACTCCAGGTCCATACTCGCGACCTGCATCGCGGTCAAAGAATGTCTGACGAGGCTCGATCGGAAAGAACCGAAGAACAGGTTGAAGAGGAAGTGACGAACTACGAAAAGTTCGCCAGAAAGTTGGCAGAGGTAGAAAGAATGTTAGACGTCGAACAGGCAGAACGACAGGAACGGAGGCAAAACAGGCCGCGTAAAAAAAGGCGTATCGCAGCTGAAAATCCAAGGGCAAACAGTGCAGTACACCAAGTTCGTCCGACTGTCCCTGTGGAATTGGGGCTCGCTCCTAATCCAACGAATCCAACCCTTTTAAACTTTTCTGGAATACCCAACTTCACTGGTCAATCTCTCTAAAAGAGCCCAAAGGAACTGTACCCACCTTGAATTAATGGGAAATACCTGCTTGAAAAGAAAAAAACTAGACCAAGACTAATGGACTACATTCTCCCTTTCTAACTTCGCCATTTGATGGTTGTTATGCATTTTAATCACTTGAATTTATTTTGATTTTTTTTTTAAATTGTTACATTACAAAACCAATAAATTGCATAGATTCTCCATGTATCATGTCCCCTATGTATATCAATAAGCACATTGTGCATGTTTATTTGTATTCATAGACACAACAAATCAAAATCTCAAAATAATTGAACTCATCAGTCATCATCCTATTTGAATGTGGCTTTGTTTTTTGCCTTTTTGAAGCTGGTTTATTTCCCTCAATGTGATCAAAGAAGTGCCTCAGTCCAATAAGAAAAACCTCACAAAAATTGAATAAATACATATTCCCCTGTTTTCAAGCAGAGAGCTAAGGCATGGTTTGAAACCCAGCCCCCCTCCCACCAAGTCCTGTGATTGAGCATGGTTGGAGATATGATTAGAATGTATGCAAAAGCAAGTGAAATCATGTTAAATCAGCGTAATTTTGAACTGATGTCACAGCATGTGGCCCAGGTCACAGTAAATTTCCATCGCAGCAGTCTTGAACCAATTTCCAAAAAAAGAACATAGCGAGTGTTTTTTCTTGAACACAACATGCTTGTGTCCAGTATGTGTGTTTCATACTGGAATACCAGGATTTGAACTGTTAAGCCCCCTTGAATGGGCAAACAAAAGGAAAGCTTGACACCAAGCATGCTTAAACAATCCAAACAAACCAGCTGTACTTCCTAAACGCAGTACCACATAACATGAACTAAATTCCAGATCCTGGTTGAGAAAATTGATTGACGTTAATCAAAAGGACAAAAATCACCAAACAGCTTTTGCCGCTGCACGGGCTAAAGAAAAAGGGAAAGTTCCCCATTTACTCAAGTGGCTGAAATGAAAAAATTCAGATTACAGATGGATCAATCATCATGATGAGTTTTTATGGAATTAAATGGAGTAGGCAGGGTACAAGTATTCATAATGTCAAGACGGCAAGTCACTCTGACTGGAATATTTTTTTGGTATGTCTGGTTAGCTGTTTTTATTTAGATCCCCAGCTTGTAAGGGCCTGAATTGGCCACAAGACACGTGTTCCATTCCAGTGCCTAAAGCTTCTTTTTTCCAACTTCCACGCTGCAAGCCGGGGCTTGTTCAGCGCGCACGGCCGAAAAGACGCTGAAGATTGAGCGGGTCCAAGCCCAAAAGGTGCGCATCAAGTCTCCGCATTATTGTATCATCTGAAGATCACGGCTAGCTTAACACAATCCCCTCGCTCCTGAGGGCTGGGGGGACCCCAGCGTGCCACGGGCACCTCGCGAAGCGAGCCTCCGAATTGAACTGCGGATTTGGGCTAAGAAGAAGCCTTACAGCATCCTGGTTCTCTTTGCCAGAAGAAGTCTGATCATGGTGGAGTTTCCCGAAATGATCCAAAAGGAAGCTCTACTACATAAAACTCAAGCTCAACTCTTTTTTATTTTTTGCAAATGAATTTTTATGATGTCATGATCAGACCATTTCCTCTGTACAACAGTATCCATAACTTTTGATCTATCGGTACAACATTAAATCAGAATTTTTCCAGTGGAGAACCAAAACCATCCCTCTCCCAAAAGCTAGAAATTTAGCTTTAATAGCTTCACACTGATTGGACCATGAAAGCAAAGACCAAGGGCTAGCTCCAATGGACTTATTAGAGTTCATATAGATCTCATCAGACGAAGAGCCTAATTATACTTAATGGCCCTGAATCGCTGCAAATACAAGCACACAGTTTTATGGTCTGGACGGATACCAAAATCCAGCACTTCCGAATCGATCAGAGCGTATTTTAGAAGATCGATCGGTGAAAGATAGGAATACAAACTCGATGATACCAGTGTGCAATGGGTGTGTTGCAACTGCGACTAAAGGTTTGTGTACGTGTTTAAATAATTCATTCAATAAATAAATCTAATGGTTCTACTCTGGTATACATTTGGGATTGGCTTGGATATTCTCTGGTGGTGATGTGACTGTGAAAATGAGGACAAGCGACGGACAATCTGGGATGTCATGGGATGTGTTTTAGGTCAAAGTTCCTGCCTTCCTGAGCTCAGTCTCGATCGCATGCTTGAGTTCCTGGATCACCACTCCTGGTTGGGGAGCACCGAAGACCGCCGTACCCGCCACGACAACATTAGATCCTATGGAGGATAATGAGAAAATGCTGTCAGGATTTTGACTCCAAGGTGGTGAAACCAGTTGGAACCAAAAAAAAAAAACAATACACACCGGCTTCGGCACAGGGCTTGACAGTTTTCGGCCCGACGCCACCATCCACTTGGATATCCTTTTGAGGAAAGCGTGCTCTGAGCTCGGCGACTTTGACGACACAGGCGTCGATGAATTTCTGGCCGCCTCTTCCGGGATGGACGGTCATGACGAGGAGGAGGTCGGCCTTCGCGGCGATCGAGTCCGTGATTTTCTCCGAGGGGGTGTCGGGAGAGATGGCGACTCCGGCACGCATTCCGCTGGCATGGATCCGATCGATGATCGCCAGCGGGTCGTGATCGGCCGAGTCCGGCTTCTGGAAGCATGCCTCCAGATGGAACGTATATGAGGCTCCCCCGGCCCCGGCCACATCGTCAATCCATCTCATCGGATCGGCAACCATCATGTGACAGTCCATGTAGGCGCCCTCAACCGTCTTCGCCACACTTGCTAGTACCGGCGCACCGATCGTAATATTCGGTACAAAGTGTCTGTTTTGTAAGGCCTTTTGCGTCAATCATCCATTCCTCCTTTCTAAACTCCTCGCGAGCACTCGGAGATGGCCGGCCACTAGGAATCTGACTTGGCTTACCCATCCATAACATCTGGAGAGCAGCAACAGGAATTTCTCAATTTCATACACCATCCCAACATCTGAGTTTTCGGGGAAAGAGGACAGACGTTGACTTACCCATATGAAGCCATTCCGCGCCGTCTTTGATCACTTTTTTACATTCCGCCGTCAGGGATCCAAAGTCGCTCGCCAGGACCGATGGAGCAATGATAGCCTTGACCATATCTGTGGGTGAACCTAATGTATTTGTATTCCGGTGGGGGATAGTGTGGTGTGGTGCAAAGGGCTTGGATACCGGAAGCGCTCGTGTTGGTTGAACTGTGGACGAGGAGCGTGACAGGTGAGTGACACCCCACTCGGAGGGCCCTGGCAGAGCTCAATGTCACAGATCTTGCAATCAAGGCGCGCACCTTCCACTTCCAGGCGATCACAGATTTGACCACACAAACTATGCAGGTGAGTGAGTCTTCAATCTTTAGAGTGTGGAGGAAGAAAAAGGGAAAGAAGCTCATCGTCACATCACTGCTTGTTGGATCGGACTGTCTTTTCTTCCCGCTCGATTAGAACCCGTTTGAAGAACAACAGACCGCCTTACTATCTCGAATGCTAGGAAATGTTGAGAAGCTATCGGAAGCGATGACCGAACTGATTTTGACGCTCGAGGTAATCACTTCATATAACCTGGATTACTCCGTTGAATGAATTTATGAGACTAGGCAAGTGATGAAGAGAAAAGCTGACGGTCGATGAAAAAATGTGTGTGATCGGATGCCGGCCAGTCGATCAATCATTACAATCTCAAAGCCTCCGATCTCAATCAAGCCGTCCAGAACTACGCCTTGAACGTCAAGTACAACCTCCAAAACCAGAACCACGATGATCCGAATCAAGGCACCGGCGATCAGAACATCGATCCGGCAGTCTGACATGGATTGGTCCGCGCAGATCTCCATCATCGACTTCTTTGCCTCTCGCCCGTTGCTCCCATCCTTCAAACAACTCTTGCAACTCACAACTCCTGTTTCAGGGCTGTATTCTTAATAGCTCTCCCAGTATTGTTTGGGTTTTGCTACTTGTACTTCTTATGAATTAGTTTGGGTAAACTTGAATCCATACTGCTACCAATGATGAAAACAGAAACAAATGTTGATGAGATCAGAGCAAACACAAGCTGATCTAAAGCAAATCTTTCAAGATGAATTCAATCAGAACAATACTTGAACACCGGGCCTAATCTTAGTCACACAGGTAGTGTATTGTAGTACCCCTATGTTGCAAACTGAATAATATCTAGAAAGAAAGCCATGATGTTTTTTTTGTTAATTTCTGTACCATTTGGAATGAAAATTCTTTTTTTTTTCAGAATTATTCAAATTTAATTTTGCTCAACTTTTCATATCATTGAAAGTTGCCAGCACCAAAGGCAAGTTGTTGGCCTAAAAGTGAAGAAATTCAATAACAGAACTCTCTGATTGGTTTAAATTTTTGTGGATTGTGTTTTGCAAAAAGCTTGGACTGATTCTGTTTTTTTTTTGTTTTCAGTTGATTCCAAGTATGTACTCCAAACCTATGTTTTTTTTTCAAGTTTTGTTTCTTGGCAGATGTGTGATCTGACCCCCAAGGCTGAATCCACACACCCAAGAATCTATGCTAGTTTCTTTCCAAATCAAGCCATGAGGAATCCAAACTCATTTTTTTGGAACCAGAGGGCCAAAAGTTCACCCAAATGACTAGGTATGGCTGCTCACAGGGTCGCTACACTAACCGTAGCAGCTAGTGTAGCGTAACGTAGCTGAATTCTTCTAACACTTGGTGTAGCACAGTGGAATTCTGCCACACATGTAGGCCCCAAAAAAGGGCCCACTACACTGCGCTACAGTGCATTTTAGCGGCTTTTGGGCTGTTTTTGCTGCTAAAAGCGCTGTAGCACAACATAACGTAGCAGAGTGGTGCTAACAGCGCGCTAACACTACAGGGTTAGTGCGCTGTTTTGAGGGCCACTATGCTAATATTAGACTTAGTGGGCCGTTTAGCATAGTGTAGCATAGCGGCCCACCGTTGGTCCAATTTTTATGAAAAAAAAACAATATGTAGAAGGCTGAAAAAGAGATGATTTTCAAAAACTGAATCCCAGGGTACTACTACAGGCAACGCTGCCACAGATACGGTATCTGCCCGTATCTGCCATGTATCACTATGTATCTGAGCCCCAATAAAAAAAAACTATCTGACCAATCTGCTTTTATTTGCAAGGAGATTCAACAAATTTGGTTTTTGGCCATGCAGCTTTGCAGAATTCTTCATGATACACACAGTGTATCGTATCTGTGGCAGCGTTGCTACAGGCCCTTAGATCTCCATGTCTGCAATCCCAAGAAGGTTTATAACTGCCAATGGCACTGTGATTGGTCTCCCAACTTAAAAGAAGAAGAAGATGTTGTATCAAGTCTGATCACTTGAAGAAGCAGCTATGTATTGGCCCATCGAGTTCAAGATAGCAGCCAGCTTCCAGAAAGTCTTGAAGTCCGTTGAAATGGCAAGAGTGTAGCTGAGTGATGATTCAAAGAGTTGGTGGGAATAAGGCTCTTCATCAGGACATCTGTCTCATCCAAAAAATCAGCCAACTCAATTAATTATACATGAGTAGCTAGCTAGGCAATGAAAAGAGTGCAGGAGTCATGATGCCTACACATCTGACTGATTTCATCCTCATTCTCCATTCCCCACTGATGCAAGATAACTCCACAATCCAAAAAAAAAAAAAAATGAAATTGATCATTCATGCCAACAGAAAAAAAAAACAAAGGTTGCAGACAGACAGTGTGCCCCAACATGTGAGGATATCTTGACAGGCTGATGATGACAGTGCATGTCCCGTAGACCTTGCCCCAACAAATGCCTTGTTTTGACCCAGATTGGGTCAAAACAAGGCACCCGTAAGCTTGCAAACAATCAACACCACCACCACCCCAGATATTTGTACACCAAACAAATGAGACATACACATACATAACACAGGTCTTTCTGCTCTACTTGATTCATTGATTAGCATCCACTGTTGTGTACATGTGTTCTTCTTTTCACTGACATAAGTTGGCAAGTCGTGATAGGGCTGATGTAGCAGTAAGACTCTACCCATAGTGGAAGGCTATCAAGTTGTACAGTGGGTAGACAGTGAAAAGTGACTGCTTATTTTGGATTCCAGAGCTCTGAAAAAACAAACTTGAAGTCATGAGACTTGGTCAGGTGGTGCATTATAGCTCCCAAAAATTGAAGATGGAATAATAAAAGCAAAAAAATAAAGTTTGAAAATTTAATGTGAAAAATAAAAAATAAACTTGATTTTTTTTTTTCAAAAGCTTTGATATTCATTTTGCGGGAGTGGGAGTGCTGAGAGAAAGAAAGAATGGAACAAGGCAAGAATGATTATAAATGAAAAAAAAAATGGAACCAAAAAAGGTTTGGCCAGGTTGGTGGTCCAGATTGGAGCCAAACCAGTAAATTTTAGTGCGCTACTGCAATGTGGGCTGGTGAATGCCCCACTCAACAGCTGTTTGAAGCCATCTGCAGAAAACCAGTTTTTCAAAAATTTTCATTTATAATCATTCTTCTCATTTCCCATGCTTTCTTTCTCTCAGCACTCCCTCCCAGTCCCCCAAAATAAATATCAAAGCGTTTGTTTGGAAAAAAAAAACAGTTTTATTTTTTATTTTCCACATATTTTGAAACTTTATTTTTTGTTTTTATTTTTTTCATATTCATTTTCTAGGACCTATTATGCACCACCTGACCAAGTCTCATGATTTAAAATTTGTGGTTTGGAGCTCTGGAATCCAAAATAAGCCCCCACTTTTCACTGTCTAGGCACTGTACAAACAGCAATACATAGGAGAGGGTGGCCTGACAAGAAGGACTTGCACGGCTTGGGGAACGTCCAATTCCACCCCCCTGCTCTTCAGGGACAAACAGGGCGTCCCAACAAGCCCATAACCCCACATTTAATTACTGATTAGGTTTCTGTTATATTGAACTTGCTAAGTTGGATTAAGAAAAAAAGCAAGAACCTGAAAGACCCCCAAAAATCCATGCAAAAAAAAAAAACACCTGAGGAAAAAATGAACAAGTGTAGGAAAAACAAAAAAAATTTAGAGATGAGTGTAACAAAAACAAAACCATGATGATGATGATTAAGAAGAGTGTAGAGAAAAAAAAGGAGATCCAACAAAGATGATGAAGTGTGACTCAGTGTTCATATGATGATAAGTTAATTGGCCGAGACTAGTGCCATGCAGAAGAAGAAAGAAAAAGAAACACTAATGGAGGAATTTGGGATCCAAGAGAACGTTGCAAATTGAGTGTCAATAGGTCTTTTGTGACTGAACCCAGGTTGATACACGTGATGAAGACTGATGCTATTTATTCAGGATCATCAGATTCATCATGATATGGCTTGTATTCTTCATCATAAAGACTATCATACTCTTCATATGAATAACTGTCTTCTTCTTCCTGCTCCTGCTGCAGCTTGTGTTCCTCCTCCTCTTTTTGGTGCTGATGAAGAGTTTGCTGTGGTTGGAAGAGTTTGGGACAGAATCTGTTGAGATGTCCTTTCTCTAGACAGTTGAAACAAGTCTTTGTTGCCATGTACTGAGCTCTTTTAACTTTTTTTTTTTGAAAAAAAAAAATGGTTGAGGGGATGATAGAAGAGAAGTTTGAACAGGCAGTTCAAAAATGTGAGATGAAAAACAAAGGAAATGATGGGGTCAATACCAAAACTGTGTCAAGAAGGAGAAGTGGGGAGAAATGGATACCTTGGTTAGGAAGCATAGCGATTTCAGGGGGTACGTAGTAAGGATTACTGGCGCTCCACCACTCGGATTTGAGGCTGATCCGGACAAGTTTATCGAGGGCATGGCCGTCGAGCTTGTGATGGGCAACGATGAAGCCGTTCTGGATGATGTCGACGATCCCGTCGTTGGCCGCCGCTTGGGCATACTTCTGCAGATTCGCCGCCCCATCGACCAGGACCGAGGGCACGACACTGTTCGGCGTGCTGAGCTGCCGGGCCTCAAATGTATCCCGGAATTCTCCCCATTCTGCTACCCTGCGGTTCTTGAGATAAAGTTCACGTAAAGTCCTAATCATCGGGCTGGTTCAAAAGAGGAAATCGACGTCATTTTTTTTTTTGGTTAGCTTTCGACGCTCTCATCCGACAAGATGGATCGGGATTTCCGTTTCGTTGATCGGATGAGATCGCAATTTCGAAGCAAACAAAAATACTCACAAATACGTAAGTCCAATACGGGTAAAGTCTCTCTTGAGTTGAACGGTGGTATTTAGGCCATGGCCCGCAATTAGGAGGCGGTTTTGAACTGATTGTTGAGAGAAGATGTCTGTGAAGGCGACACAATGGGGGTTCTTCTTACGACAAGCCATGATGATATGGAGTGTTTTATCAGGATTGGTGGCATGGAGAGCCGCGCGAAGATCCTCGATTGGGATCGGCTGGTGGGCGACCATCGACGGCCAGCCGAGCACTTCGATCCGGTACGAGACGATCTGGTTCATCGCCATCACCAGTTGACGGACCGGCCAAGACGACACATGGGCCTCCATCGCTGCCTCTAATCGGCGCCCCAAAGGTGGTAACTTGTCAAATTCTATCAACGGGGCTTGTGGCTTTTGAATCGGAGGGAAGGGCTCGGGTGGATAGACTGATAATGGCTTAAGGAATTGGGGAGCCATCGCCTTGTCCGTCTTACAATTTTCTTGGTCGAAGTCGATCGACTGACGTCGCAGATGAGTGTCTTGAGGCATGGCTTCCCAGGTCTCATTGTGATGACTGAGCGGGTTCGGGGGGTCGTTCTCGTTGAGTATTGTGGGCTCAAAAAGCATTTGGACACGTTTCTCTGATTTGACATTTGTTTTGTCGGAGTCAATCGACTGACGTCGCAAATGAGGGTTTTTAGACATGGTTTCCCATGTCTCATTGTGATGACTGAGCGGGTTTGGGGGGTTGTTCTGGTTCAGAATTTTAGTCTGATCCAGTATTTGGACTCTTTTCTCAGACTTGAGACTTGGAACTCTACGGGCATCGTTCGGCTTGGACTGTTGCTGCTTATTGGTGATGCAAGGGCGGATCGCGGGTACGTTCTTGAGCGAAGACCGTTTACTGACAGGTGAGGTTATCTGGCGGGGCTTTCGGGTGGCAGGTGTCGCTTTTGGGATGAAGAGCTGTTTGGTGGACGATGGCTGTGGCTTGGCCTGTAGGGCAATTGGAGCACTGGCTGGGGCGCGGCCGATGGTCGAGGGGGGTGGGGGACGCGTGGGAACAGGCGGATCGATCGGTTTTTCATCCGCAAGAAAAACCGATAGTTCTTCGAACGGGGATAGAGTCCGAGGAGGCGGAACGGGGTTGTGCTGGGCCTCAGGTACGGTGGTGGTTGACCGATGCGGGGAAAAAGTCTTGGTC